CTTATGTGTTTCTGGGGAAATATGTAGTAAATTAATTGATGTTCTACATCACTTCCGTCGCAACTTGAAAACTAAGCATTTGCGACGGAAGTGATGTAGAACATCAATCAATTGAGATCTGTTGTTGAAATGATAAAGACTTAAAGACAGGACAAAGTGCTTTTAAAACCTACAAACGGAAGTCAGTTTGCGTTTTTAGGTTTTTCTTTATAGTATTTTTACCAAAAATGCGTCTTTACTGGTCCATGCGTCTTTACTGGTCAAGTAACCCTATCAGGTACCTCCCTTAACGTTTAGAGGCGAAAACAAACATTTATCCCTACACATCAATGTCTATCAACAACACTTCAGTTAATTTGTCACAGTACAAGTCTAGATAATGTGTAATTACTACAGAAAATTGGAGAGGAATCTCCCATACTCACCCATTAGCGGGAAAACACAGCTGTTCTGATGTAAACAAAGGCGTGTTGAGTGTTGCCATCTATGGTTAGGTTTATTTACTTTTATTTTATTTTATTTCATTATTTATTTTTGTTTTGATTAATTTTTAAAAATCAATTTTACTCTCCAAACACTTGAACTTTTTAGGTAGGGACCCCTTTGCACTTGCACCATGTGCGCAGTCTTGGATGAGCCCCTGAACCCCTTGGACTGCGGGGCCCCCAAATGCGCGGGGCCCTAGGCAAATGCCTAGTTTGCCTATGTGGTAATCCGGCCCTGAATGTGCCTATGAGGGAATGGAATAGTAATTCGTCCAAATTAAAGGACAAAATATGTAAAGATTACCCTGGAGATGATGTGCCAAAATGTAGTAATGTATTGGGATTAACTTGGGATACTGAGAGAGATTTGTTAATGTTAAAACCTAATAATTACAGTATGCTGAAGTTTCCATATGTTTTGATCCACTAGGTTTAGTGTCACCCCTTACTATAAGAAGGAAATTATTAATTCAGGAAGCATGGAAACTTAAATGTGCTTGGGATGAAATTCTACCTGAGGAATTCATTAACAGGTGGGATGAATTAATTGGTGATTATGAGAAAATTCCAATGTTGGAGTTCCCACGCCAGGTGGCCAATCCAAATGGGAAAAATGTACTCCACATTTTTTGTGATGCTTCAAAATTGGCATATGGAGCAGTTGCTTATCTTCAATGTAATAGTGTTATTTCTCTTGTTATGTCTAAGGCTAAAGTGTTTCCAATTAAATCATGCACCTTGCCTCAGTTGGAATTAACAGCCATTTATGTAGGTGTGAAATTAGCTAATTATATAAGAAAAAAGTTGCATGAGATAAATATTAGCGACACCGTAATTTGGTCTGATAATGAGGTATCCTTACAATGGATTCGTAATGGAAACAATAAAATTATGTACGTACATAACAGAGTCACTGAAATTAATCAGATGCAAGAGAAGTATAATAGTTTGGGTCAGCATATGTTAACATTTAATCATATACCTGGTGAGGAGAATCCAGCTGATTTCTTGTCTCGAGGTTTTACCTTATGCTAAATTTGTAAATGCGGTATCATGGTTAAAGGACCGAGTTGGTTGGTAAATAAAGCTAATTGGCCTGTACAAAAGGCGTATATTGCTCCTGTTGAAATTACTGTGACCACCGCTCCAATAGTTTGTCCTCCCTTAGCCATTGATATAAATAGGTATTCTTCTTTACCCAAACTAATCAATGTAACTAAGTTGGTGTTTAAATTTCTAAGCAAGATGAATATTTCATTTAAGTTTTCACATCCTCTTGAATATTGGATAAAGAGGGTACAGGAGGAAATCTATGGAAATGAGATTAAATTGATGATGGAAAGAAAAATTGTGAAAGGTTCCATAATAGAGAAATTTGGGGCTGTATTTAGAGAACAGTGTAATTAGGTGCAGAGGTAGGTTACAAAATGCTGAATTGGGTGATTATGCTAAACACCCTATCTTACTGCCCAAAACTCATCATCTAACAAATTTGATTGTTCCAATTGCCCATAAAAATGTAATGCATGGTGGGGTACAAGATACCTTAAATTGTATTAGGGAAACTTTCTGGATTCCACAAGGACGGCAAAGTGTAAAAAGGGTGATTAAATCTTGTGTAATATGTCGCTGTGTGGATGCCAGATCCTATATGTACCCAGGTCCTCCACCATTGCCAAAGGAGCATGTACAATTAGTGAAACCATTTGATGTAACAGGTGTAGACTATAGTGGTCCAATAATTTTAACAGGTACATCAAATGGTGTTCCACTGAAAGTGTATGTTTGTTTGTTCACCTGTACTGCTACTAGGGCAGTTCATTTAGAAGTGGCACAGGACTTGTCTGCAGAACAGTTTATACAGCTGTTTCGAAAATTTGCGGCTAGGAGATCCTGTCTGAGGTTGATGATTTTGGATAATGTCACAAATTTTGTAGCAGGTGCTCAACACTTGATAGAATTAAATAATAGTAACGATGTTCAATCTCTGTTAACCCAGCGAGGGTGTACCTGGAAATTTATTACTCCTAGAGCCCCTTGGCAGGGGTGCTTGTATGAAAGACTGATAGGCACAGTGAAGAGGTGTCTCCGCAAAGTACTACACCGGAAGAGAATTAATTTGGAAGAATTCCGTGCAGTGTTAGTGGAGGCAGAAAATCGTATAAATAATAGGCCTCTCTCGTACATGAGTGATACACCTGATGCAGATGTATTAACACCTTCTCACCTAATATGTGGAAGGAAATTGGAAGCTGCCCGTCTATAGAGATAATCCGGAAGAAAGTGATGAAGATTACAATGATGCAGCAGTGTTGTGTGATAAATTTAAAATGTTAAATGAAGTAATTGATCATTGGTCTAATGTGTGGCGTAAGGAATATCTTCTTACACTATGTGAACACTTTTATGGTGCGACAGAGGCAGTAAATCGACAGACCATTCAACCAGGTGACATTGTGTTAACTGACACTGAACAACATCGAACATTGTGGCCTCTGGGCAAAGTATTGACATTGTACCCAGATGCACAAGGTGTCGTCAGGAATGTCAAAGTGTTGTGTCGTGGCCAGGAAAGTTTACACACAATTAATAAATTGATTCCCTTGGAGTTAGGTGTTCAATCAAACGTAAATGAAAATCTGAGGAAAAGTGACACGAGTGATATGGAAGATAACGTTGACCAAGTGATGCCGGAAAATGAAATCGTAGTAAGTCCTACTAGGAGAACAGCCACTCAAGCCAGAACCGGCTGGAATTGTCTCCTAAAGGAAGGAGTAATTTGAGTCGTTTAGCAACGAACTCCGGCTGGCTGCAGTGTGGAAAATACTGTATATATTTTCCGGAAATATGGTAATTTATAGGTAAATAGATGGCCTATACTGTATTAATAATATTTGTCATAGAAAACTGAAAGCCTGTATCTGGGCAGGAGACTCGCCATCTTGGTTTTGAATTTTGTACAAACGTTGGTGTAATGGGAAGAATTTTTCGTGCTCTAGAGGTTAAAATTGTGTTGACACCTCTCAAATAGGAGGCAAAATTGGTGGATGTGCATTCCTGCATAACTTGAGATACCAGACGACTGGACAAGACAGCTCCAGGAACCTCAGATAAGCTCTCTAGATTTGTGTGTAATTCTGGCCAGCATTATTTTCATAGATTTAGTTAGAGTAAGGTTTTCTGAGTATGATACACATTAATCTCCAGTCAAATTGGTGAGTGATATTAAGATATATTTTCCTTCTGTTATGTAATTGTGTATATATATATATATATATATATATATATATATATATATATATAACCATTTATTATTTTTAATATACAGTCCACAAATTTATATATTTACCAGTATTCCTGGTGTATGTATATTTCATTTAATTAATAGGTCCAGAGCAACTTGTGGTTATGACAGTGGTAGGTATCGAAGGGGAACATTTTTTTGCGACCTAGGTGTCCCAAATTCCTACTTGTCTATGTAACATTGATAAATAATAATTATCTTTGTTATCATTTACTGTTATGTACATAATTAGTTACATTCAGATAAATGCAATTTTCCACAAGCATGTTGTTGGAGTCATTATAAGAAATGTAATTTTCCACAATGCTCATTGGAGAACCAGGTATAGATACTCAAAAATCAGGGACAAAGGAATTAATGTACAATTGCTATGGATCCCATTCCTCATTCGATTACTCCTTCATGATAAAGGTGATATGTTAGCCAAGAAGAGTACCTAGAAGGAGAATGTAGAATATAACTTTGGTATATCTGTGTCTAGCATTAGGAATAATATTAAGAGAGAAGTAAATAATGAAAATGATTGTTATAGGAATGCAGTTAGAAGCTTTAGTAGATCTATAACCCACTATGATAACATGAACGTAGGTAAATGTGTCTATGGAGCAACTTGCAATGTGAACAGACTGACTGATGTTGTAGTGGCCAGGCTTAATCTTGGTTATAAGTACTTCTGGCAGATTGGGAGACACACAGATGATAATCAAACTGTATGCAAATTATGTGATCAGGCATATGATCACTGTCTTTAACACTATGTGCCTAATTGTACACTTAGTGAGGAATAAGAGACAGACAGTATAATAACCTGTGTGACATGTCAAGATGTCTTATTAATGAAAATAAGATAACAGATATACTAAGCAAATTTCCTAAATTTGCTTGTAACAGAAAAGTGAACTGTAGATATGTAGATAAATAAAAACCCATATGTACACCTGTTAAACCTTTTGGGGCCTAGTTCCTAGGCCTTTTGTGTATCCATATACTCTTGCGCTACCGTCCACAGGATGGATATGGGGTGCACAATAAACTAGCCACTTTGGTGGCAAAATCTAAATCTAAAAAGCGTAAAAAAAATAAAAGTTAGCTCCACTATATGTTTTTAGACTTATAATGATTCTGATTTATCTACTAATGTATGAACGTGTATGCGTAAAATATTTTTTTTCTGGGCCACTATCATATGGTGATGATGATGGTGTCTGCAGGAAGGTTGAGGTGCTGAGGGTCTGTCTTGGTCAACGTGATGGACAGCTGTGGCTCCGACAAATGAATGGTTGTAACCTCGACTTCAAGGTATCTCGTCTTATTCATACTCGAATCCTTCTATAGTAACTCTGCCTTTTTCAAATTAGTATGCTTTGTATGTTTGTATATATGTATTACCTGTCCATCATTTTTTTTATATTTTAGAAAATCATATCTATTTTTCCATTAATTTTTTTGTTTAAATCAACGTACCTTGCTTCTAATGTCACCAATGAGTGCGTATAAAACACCATAATTTTTTTATATGGAAATTTGTTGTTTATTAAACTTTTTGGTACAGTAAACGTACCACTCACTACCTGATGAATGAGACATTTACGCAACACTTCAGTATCTTTATACCCAAATGTTGCACAAATGTCTTATTCACCACCTTGTCGATTTTCTGAACCATTTATCTACAGTACCACTACCTACTTTAAAAAAAACATGAGTACAAGATGGGGGTCATTTTAAAATATGGTGGGTACGATATCCCGTATGACATGACAGTTGTCTTATGTATGAATAAATTTTAACAGATTGTGGAACAAAGAAAGACGGAGGAAGTGGAGGAGGAGCTGACTCACTACATCTACAACACATCTGAGGGACCCATGTGGTGTGTGAGGCTCCTCGCCCTGCCACCTACACCATCCTCCACCGATCTGGATTCGATTTTCTCTCATAATTACGCTCTCATGCTTGGTATCCACCATTCGTTAGCTGACGGGTTCACTAATATCAATATCTGCAACCTGGTGCATACCATTCTAGACGATATGGTTGCCGGTCGCCCCGTGAACGACGAACAACAGGTGGGGAAGCTTGTTGGTGACGAGCAAACTCAGAAACTTTACGAAGAGCAAAGGCAAAAGTTGTTGGGAGATCCGGAACTCAAGGAAAGAGTCAGAAAGGAGTTTCAGGATGGTGCCGATACTCGTCCTCTTTTCCTGGATGCCTTTCCTGTTTCAGGACGAACCGATGTGAAAACCTGCTTTGTTAATATTCAATTCGACAAGAATCTAACGTATTCTTTTCGTCGAAAGTGCAAAGAAGAGGGAGTTACGCTTCACTCTGGACTCGTAGGTGTCATCAACGCCACCCTCATTAATCTACTTAATGATCATTGCGAGGTGCCACATGAAATTAATTTTCGGGCCGGGCATGACATCAACTTAAGACGGTATTATGAAGGTGACACCACAGGTATTCATGGCAATCATATCCCTACATTTGGCTTCAAGACCTCTTTCAAAACCTCTGAAACTCTAATGTCCAATTTTTGGCCTACAGTAAAGGAGTTTCACAAGAAATTACATTCTCATTTAATTGAGCGCCGCCCCCTGCAAGTTGTGGCTCTTAAGTTGATGGAAAAATCAAAATCTGAAATTTTAGATGGATATTTTACAAGCCATGGGACGCCTGACAGCTATTACACTATATCAAATATGGGTGACGTGACGCCATTGTTCACTGGTGAGAGTGACTGTGTGAAGGTTGTGAAGCTCACTCGACTCTCATCTATACGATGCATGAACAATTTCATATGTTTTTATGCCCACAGCCTCAATGGACGCCTGGACTTAACTATGGGGTTTTCAAACCGTTTCTTGGACCATAAGTTTGCCAAGGAGTTCATGGACATGATGAGCGTTAACATGACAACTTTGAGTTCATCATGATTTTGATCCATCAGTGAGATGGATGAACCACTCCGTAATTATGAGAGTGACTTTCTGTTTTATATGGTCTAGTAAGTACTTTCAGATGAACATTAAACATAGTGAATTAATAGGAATAAAATTCTATTGCTAGTATTCTCATCTAGTTATCTTTCACAGCTAGGCTACTGGGGCTTGTATATTGTTCAGTTAAATAAATAATATAAATATTTTTTTTTACATCGTCATGATTCCTCATAGATTCCAAATGATGCTCTCTCTTTCCCTCTCTGTAACTCTTTTGGATTCATCAGTCCAACACAGAGCAGTGGAAAATGAGAAGTCTGAGGTAACCAGTCCCAGGCTGATGTTATCAGTCCCTCATTTCCAGGCTGAGAGACTGCCTCAAACTCTTCATGTTCTACGGTTCGTCTCAGTTGGACTGATGAAGCCACTGGCTGCTGAGACGTTTCCACGATAAATGTACCAAAGTGTGGCAAAATTGTTATTATAATCAAAACTAAGCGCTAAACCACCAGGGTCATACAGAAAGTGTGGCATAGATGTCTTATTTAGTTGAGGAAGTCCCATTCCTCGACATCACCTTATCAATAATTCTTTCAGGTTCAAAAATTTCAGAAAGCCTATAAATAAAAACGATCTCATTAACTTTTCTCCATTCAGGACACCAACAAATCGAGGCATTGTAACATTTTTTTTTTCTAAGAGGCTTTCCCATCGGCATCCCAGAGTTCCTATAAACATTTTCAGAGCTCCACTTCCCCACATTTTTCATCGGAGACTACCAGCAACGTGTCGTCCACATCTATAACCCTCCACACAACGACACCGGGTCCTTCCTAATTTCAAAATGATAAAAAAAAATTCTTTACATCACTCGCCCGAGGAACCATCAGACTTCACATAAACTAAAATTTAACACTCAAAAAAAGTAAGTCTATTTGGGTACATTTACAAACATTACAGATGATCACAGCTATTTTACGTAATAACTTAAGTGTAAATTACCTAGGATAACTCCAAAAAAAACTTCAACAATGTGTGTTTGCGTTATTCTCTGCTGGTGGTGCGATAAGGGATACAGTGGAGAAACATCTTTGCACACACTCGCAGCACAACAGATGCTGTTAACCTGCGTTTAAGATGGAAGGATGCCTATTTGATTATCCTAGAGCCAGACACAAAGCTTATTCAAGGGATTTTTTTTTTTAGATTTTGCCACCGAAGTGGCTAGTTTATTGTGCACCCCGCATCTGCTAGAAAAATGACAGGATGGATAATGAGAACCTTCAAAACGAGGGATGCCAAGCCCATGATGACACTCTTCAGGTCACTTGTTCTATCTAGGCTGGAATATTGCTGCACACTAACAGCACCTTTCAAGGCAGGTGAAATTGCTGACCTAGAAAATGTACAGAGAACCTTCACGGCGCGCATAACAGAGATAAAACACCTCAATTACTGGGAGCGCTTGAGGTTCCTGAACCTGTATTCCCTGGAACGCAGGCGGGAGAGATACATGAATATATACACCTGGAAAATCCTAGAGGGACTAGTACCGAACTTGCACACGAAAATCACTCACTACGAAAGCAAAAGACTTGGCAGACGATGCAACATCCCCCCAATGAAAAGCAGGGGTGTCACTAGCACGATAAGAGACCATACAATAAGTGTTTAGGGCCCGAGACTGTTCAACTGCCTCCCAGCATACATAAGGGGGATTACCAACAGACCCCTGGCAGTCTTCAAGCTGGCACTGGACAAGCACCTAAAGTCGGGTTTCCCGATCAGCCGGGCTGTGGCTCGTACGTTGGTTTGCGTGCAGCCAGCAGTAACAGCCTGGTTGATCAGGCTCTGATCCACCAGGAGGCCTGGTCTCAGACCGGGCCGCGGGGGCGTTGACCCCCAGAACTCTCTCCAGGTAACTCCAGGTAAACATCCAACCTGTGGACGGTAGCGCAAAAGCATATGGATACACAAAAGGCCTAGGAACTAGGCCCCAAAGGGTTAACAGGAATACATATGGATTTATATCTACATATCTATAGTTCACTTATCTGTTACAAAACAAATTTAGGAAATTTGCTTAGTAATCTGGTATCTTATTTTCATTAGTAACATATCTTGACATGTCACATGGGTTTTATTATACTATCTCTGTATTCCTCAATAAGTGGACAATTAAGCACATAGTGTTCAAGAGAGTGACCATATGCCTGATCACATAATTTACATTTAGTTTGATCATCATCTGTGTGTCTCCCAAACTGCCAGAAGTACTTGTAACCAAGCCTAAGCCTGGCCACTACAACATCAGTCAGTCTGTTCACATTGCACGTTGCTCCATAGACACACTTACCTACGTTCATGTTATCATAGTGGGTTATAGATCTACTCAGGCTTCTAACTGCATTTCTATAACAATCATTTTCATTATTTACTTCTCTCCTAATTTTTTCCTAATGCTAGACACAGATATACCAAAGTTATATTCTACATTCTCCTTCTGGGTACTCTTCTTGGCTAACATATCAGCTTTATCATGAAGGAGTAATCCAATGTGTGATGGGATCCATAGCAACTGTACATTAATTCCTTTGTCACTGATTTTTGACTATCTATACCTGGTTCTCTAACGAGCATGTTGATGTTGTTGGAGTCATTATATGAGTTAAGAGCATTCAGTGATGACATAGAATCAGTAATGATGATAGAGTCAAGCTCAGAGTCATAAGTTAGCTTTAGGGACAGCCATTAGATCCCTACGTTTCGTTTACATGCTGCCCTTGTTCACTTAGCAGTAGGTACTTGTTGTAGGGTCGCATCCTGGGGAAGAAGATTAACTTATCCCAATGATTACATGGCTTTATTGGGTTATCCTGGTTTAATAACCTTCCTTGGTTAATACCCGAATAAAATCTTATTCGGGGATTGTCAAGGACCCCAATGGAAATAAATCACTTTGACTTTTTTGGGGTTATCCTAGGTAATGTACACATATGCTGATATATATGATAAGTTATGTAACTACATTTATGTGTACCTTAGACGGAGTTAGCAAATATATAATTGTTTACCCTAACAAAAATACCACGTACATTTTCTGTTCTTAATATTTTTAAAATTGAATAAAGAAAATCATATTTAGTGATGGACTATTAATTTGGATAAGCGGTGTTTGTGCACTCCCCCAATTGTGGTTGTCAAGGTCGAGTCGAATTTACTGACCCGACCTCTCCTCTGACCGCTACTGGTTTCACTTTCTCTCCTGGCTGCGTGAGCCTTATCATACCAATTCTTAAAACTATGTATGGATTCTGCTTCTGCCACATCGTTAAAACAGTTATTATATCATTATAATAAAAAAGAAGTGTTTATACCCAAGGGTTATACAGCACAACAGGGCAGAGAAGGAGGCAGAAGAAATGGGTGGTAAGAGGAAGAGGGATGATTATTAGGGTATGGAGTGCAGCGGGGCAGTGAATAGTACAGGGGTAAAGGGTAGCTAGAGAGTAAGGTAGAAAGGACAGAGGAGAGTGCTAGAGGCATCAACGTCTGAGTTTGTGTAGTAAATCGGTCGCTGTCAAAAAGTCAATGAGAGAGTCTGGATTAAAGGAGGGTCCATCAGCAAGAAGGGAAGGTAAAAAAAGGGCAGCAGAATGATGGGTCCTCTTGTTTACCTGGAGGTAAGTGATAGCCAGCACTACCTGGGCAGACCAGTAATCCGCCTGTGGCCTTGTCTACGTCGAGTCCAGTGCTTCAAGGCTCTGTCTGGCCACCCTCGGCCCCTCCTTCCTAGGCTCGAAGTTCGAGTATGTGGGCAATAGAGGGAGACCAGAAGAGTATATAGTCGGGGGAAGCTACCTGGTGCCTGATACATTTGGTACATCGAAGGGAGCCTGGCAGAGACACGGTGTACCCGCGGTTTGATGGACGACCTGAAATGGGGCGGTAACATCGTGGGAGAGGAGCGGGAAGGTCTGCTGCTAGGGGAGGGAGGAGTTCATCCCGAGTACGACTCTCTCTTCTGCATCTGCAGTAGAAGCGAGCCAGCGAGCAAGTCACAGTGCCCCTTCGGTGAGTGGTTACTGGCATAGAGGTGGTGAGGAAGGCGGTGCTGCATGACTCTCTGTGTAACCTCACAATAACGGGGTGTGGCCTCCTTGCTTCTGATGTCTGACCTCACAATAACGGGGTGTGGCTTCCTTGTTCCAGATGCCTGGCCTCACCATCGTGTTTCATATAATCATAATCATATATTACCGCCTCATAATGACTAACTTGACCGTAATATTTCTCACCTCTCCATAATATGTCTAACCCCTTCATAGTATGTCTCACTTCACCATAATATGTCTTACCTCGACATATCATGGTTGACTCCATTATACCCTGGGGGATACTTCCTGTAACATTATTATTCAAAAACATTTTTGTTACCAAACTCCAGTAAAATTACTACAAAAAAATTATCGTTAATCATGTTAACCTCACTTATCTTTTGTTTGCCAGTCAGCACAAATATATTTCTAATTCGCGTAGTAAAGAAAACAGATGCTCAAAAATCAGGAACAAAGGGATTAACGTACAATTGCTATGGATCCCATCACACAGTGGATTACTCCTTCATGATAAAGTTGATATGTTAGCCAAGAAGAGTACCCAGAGGAAGAATGTAGAATACAACTTTGGTATATATGTGTCTAGCGTTAGGAATAATATTAGGAGAGAAGTAAATAACGAAAATGATCGTTATAGGAATGCAGTTAGAAGCCTGAGTAGATCTATAACCCACTATGATAATATGAACGTAGATAAGTATGTCTGACTTTTTTGGGTTATCCTAGGTTCTCTACACATATGCTGCTATGTATGATAATTTTATGTAACTGTATTTGTGTATACCTGAATAAACTTACTTACTTATGGAGCAACTTGCAATGTTAACAGACTGACTGATGTTGTAGTGGCCAGGCTTAGGCTTGGTTACAAGTACTTCTGGCAGTTTGGGAGACACACAGATGATGATCAAACTAAATGCAAATTATGTGATCAGGCATATGGTCACTGTGTGCTTAATTGTCCATTTATTGAGGAATACAGAGACAGACAGTATAATAACCCATGTGACATGTCAAGATATCTTATTAATGAAAATAAGATACCAGATACACTAAGCAGATTTTCTAAATTTGCTTGTAACAGATAAGTGAACTGTAGATATGCAGATATAAATCCATATGTACACCTGTTAACCCTTTTCGGGCCTAGTTCCTAGGCCTTTTGTGTATCCATATGCTTTTGCGCTACCGTCCACAGGATGGATATGAGGTGCACAATAAACTAGCCACTTCGGTGGTAAAATCTAAAAGAAAGCAAATTACTTTGATACAGCGAAGTGTGATCATTAGAATGAACTGGAGACACATCTGAGAGTCGTCATCACTGTATTAATGGTATACAGCACCATTAATACAGTGATGACGACACATGAGTAAGACACATATGCAGATACTTTGCATGTGTGTCTTTTGAAGATCACTCGACAACTACTGATATTCAGTGTGGGGAAACAGAACCCACTTATTCCTTTTACTCTGACCACTTTTAAAGTTTAAGAACTGGTATTCTCCCTCAGCTCATTTTAAAGTCCAGCCCTATCTACGGTATACTACCATCCCCCAGGATGCCACCCACAACAGTTGACTAACACCCAGGAACCTATTTACTGCTAAGTGAACAGGGAGAGAAGGTGTAAGGAAACATAACCCAACGTTTATTTAGCCTGTGGTAATAGTGACAGAATGTACCGACAGTATGTAAATAAGACACATTGCGGGTTATGACATTCTACTATGAAGACGTTTCATCCACCAGGGACTTTATTAATTGATGACGTCCCTAGTGGACGAAACGTCTTTTCAGTAAAATGCTATAATAACGAATGATTTCTAGTTCATCATTTTCATCCATTTCAAGTAATGAATATGATAATGATATGCAATACCGACAAGTTGATAAATAGGACACATGTGCAACAGTTAGCTAACTTTATTCCAAAACGTTTCGCCTACACAGTAGGCTTCTTCAGTCGAGTACAAAGGAGACAGCAGAAGAAGTAGAGATGTCAAGGCGATGTAATCAGTCCATCACCCTTGAAGACGTAATTTTGAAGTTGTAAGTTTTGCTCCAGTCATGACTCCAACAACATGCTCATTGGGGAAGCCAGGTATAGATACTCAAAAATTAGGGACAAAGGAATTAATGTACAATTGCTATGGATCCCATCACACATTGGATTACTCCTTCATGATAAAGTTGATATGTTAGCCAAGAAGAGTACCCAGAAGGAGAATGTAGATTATAACTTTGGTATAACTGTGTCTAGCATTAGGAATAATATTAGGAGAGAAGTAAATAATGAAAATGATTGTTATAGGAATGCAGTTAGAAGCCTGAGTAGATCTATAACCCACTATGATAACATGAACGTAGATAAGTATGTTTATGGAGCAACTTGCAATGTGAACAGACTGACTGATGTTGTAGTGGCCAGGCTTAGGCTTGGTTACAAGTACTTCTGGCAGTTTGGGAGACACACAGATGATGATCAAACTAAATGTAAATTATGTGATCAGGCATATGGTCACTCTCTTGAACACTATGTGCTTAATTGTCCACTTATTGAGGAATACAGAGACAGACAGTATAATAACCTATGTGACATGTCAAGATATCTTATTAATGAAAATAAGATACCAGATATACTAAGCAAATTTCCTAAATTTGCTTGTAACAGATAAGTGAACTATAGATATGAAATATAAATCCATATGTATTCCTGTTAACCCTTTGGGGCCTAGTTCCTAGGCCTTTTGTGTATCCATATGCTTTTGCGCTACCGTCCACAGGATGGATATGGGGTGCACAATAAACTAGCCACTTCGGTGGCAAAATCTAAAAATCTAATCTCCAGTCTGAAATAATGTTCCAGACTATGGTGCATAACTCTTCTCCAGGCTAAGGGACTGACTGCCTTAAAACTACGCGTTCAATGGTGATAGACGGATTACATCGTCTTTACATCCACTGCTCTGCTGTCTCTGTACGCGACTGAAGAAGCCTACTGTATAGGCGAAACGTTTTGGAATAAAGTTACCTGACTCACGAAATCTTAATGACACGATTGTAAACAAACCATACCACTGACCCAGTGGCTAACGCAACGGTCTGGAGTTTTGAGACTCTGATCGCAAGTTCAAACCCTTCCCGTGGTATGGTTTAATAAAGTTACCTAACTGTCGCACATGTGTTTTATTTATCACTTCAAGTTATGCTGAGTCTTCATAAAAAGGACAACAGAAAACCGTCCTCGGGGTCTACTGAAGAAATGCAGCCCTTTCCTATTTCAAAAATAAAATAAAATGCTTGAAGGCAGTAACTGTGAGTTTACTTTTCACATCACAGTAATCCATCAACCATATACTTTCATCCAAGATAGCTACTAACCAAACAACCTGACTGCAGATTCCCAAAGCTATCGTTAGGCAACCTAATCGGTTGAAAAATTCGACACAAGTGCAGAATAATGCGATTCTTTATTGACTAGGTTCCCCCCACACAGTGTGCTTTATCAAGTCACAAACAGATCTACCTGTGCAGCGAGAACATGTATATGGAGCATAGTGACGTGAAGGGTCAGGTGGAGAATACTGAGAATAAGTTGGATTTAAGAAGGACCTGCTTGCAATGGGCAAGTAGGTTTGTTGCAATGAAGGATAGGGATGAAGAAGTTTTTCCGTCGTATCCGCTGCATGACCCTTGTTTTTTTTTAGCTCTATCTTTGATAACAATAATAATAATTCCATCGTATCGGTATTTTCTTACCATTCATCTCCAACTCAAGAAAATGATTTTTAAAATTCATATCAAATATCCACAACAAAACACGTGATTTGTTGATGAGTAAGTAAGTAAGTAAGTAAGTATGTAAGTAAGTTTATTCAGGTATACACAAATACAGTTACATAGAATTATCATACATAGCAGCATATGTGTAGAGAACCTAGGATAACCCAAAAAAGTCAGACAGAGTGACTTATTTCCATTGGGGTCCTATATATATACAACTCTCACTGTATGACAATATAACAATATATGTGGAAAATATTTTAATTTTCCGAAGCTGTAGTGCCTAATAGGTGTTTAATGTGTTGATTTGGGTCAAAAATGTATTTGAAAATGGAATAGAACCAACAGGGTTCCCCCTGCGCCTGCACGGATGTGCGGGGAGACAGGTCGAGACAGGGCATCGAGGAGCGGGAGTTTTCTGAATTGAGTGAAGAGGCTGGGAAAGCATGGGAACAGGAAATTGGTGTTCACAGCGGCCTAAGGATTAATATAGGCCTCACTTCATAATAGGAAGTGTCGTAACTGTTCCTGATGAAGAGTGAGGGAATGTGATTTACGGGACCACCATAATAAAGTGGTAAAATTAGTGAATAATGATGGGACCGGCGGTGACTGGTGCGCTGCCATGGAGTGTGTCCAGGGGAAAATACACGTGATTTAATCCTCACTCATCGGTCCCAGATCTTAATTGAGTGACCTCTAATGTGTATAATAATTATGAGACATTAAATCATCTTGTGAATTGTAATGTAATCAGTGATAATAACACTAAGTTAAGAGAATGCGTGAAGTGAAATAAGTCGCCCTGCTCCGAGTGAACACGTTAGCCCTCGTGGTTCCCGTCCCGAGGATAGCGAAGTTTTTATGGAGTCACGACTTTTAAACAGGGACAAACCAACGAATACCTCGTCCTGCTGGAATAAGAACCGTGTCGGTGTAGCAGGACATCGAAATGAGATGGTGAATGGAGGAAATAAGGAGTATCAATCACCCACAGTTAAGTAACCCTTCTAGTTATAGCAGACTGATACTGGCCAGTTAGGTATGTTGTAATTGGATAGGTTATGGGTGATCCAGCTACATCAAGGGATCACCAGAGGATATCTGGTAAGTGGTGGGATTATGTACAAGTGTTTTTCCTTGATGGATATATCCATGTGTAACCTACCCCCCCCCCCCTTCATTCAGTTAAACTAATATAATCTATACAGTCCACAATTAATTAGTAGCGCCGTACTTGTGGGTGCTATCCAATTTATACTGGTCTCGGATAGATATGGATACGATTGTGAGGGTCGAAGGGACCACCAGCAGGGACCAGGGGTGGTTAAGTTTTCTCAAATGTCTACACGGGGTGACTACGGTAAACAATATGGCTGTTGTCTCCCAATGAGATTACTTGTATGCATGTAATGTTGAGGTCCATACAAGTAACACCCTAGAAAATTTTCCATAATGTATTAATGTATTAATATATTGTATTGATCTTGCTCAAAGTATGATCATTTTACATTAGGATGCATATAATTTTATAAAGTAGTTTTATTAAGACTTTCCAATACAATTATAAAGTAGTTCAGCTTCCTACATACATTTTCATCGTCTCTTATGTGAAAATATATCAAGTTTGACGTAGAGTAAATTTAAGTCTCGTGTGGAATGTATATAAAATTATACATTATGTAGTTTGAACCTAGAATACCCAAGAATGTGGTAGTAACCAAGTAACTAGTTGTAGATCGCCTTACCTCCAAATTTGAAAAAAAAAACTAGAAAGAATAAAAGAGCACTAAACCGTTTATTGAAAGAAACTTTTACAATGTTGTTGTCAGCCAGTAAATTTCGATATGTGGCATTTTGATAAAATATTTATAGATGATGATTAGATAAACAAATTTCATGTTAGGGCGCCCAGCCTCATTCTTCCGTCTACTGTCACCATCGATTTTGCAAGGAAAACTGTTCTAAATGTAAGAGCGGCGCAAACATGACATAACATTGAATAAATATTTACTGTTACAAGGAAAACGTAGTTTGAATGACGTCGATCATTTATTAGTAACTATCAGCGTCTTCAACCCAGCAGCAATCAGTATGTGAGTGGAGGTTCATATCTCTGGTCCAGGTGAGTGCTTCCTACACCTTATTTTAAAAAATTTGTGAGCTAAACGCATATGAACTCCTTCAAAAATTGTTTTCCTAGACGGGCGAGTGTGCAAAGGTTAATGTTTTATAGTCTGTATATCATATATATCCTGGACTATGCGAAAATTTAGTAACTAGAAGACTGAAGGTCACCAAGTGCCCATGTATTGCTGACGCTCGTGACTTGACAGAAAACGGATGTTGATCTGAGGGACAAACTCGCCCACCCTCAATTTTTCTAATTTTTTTTATTTTATTTAAAACTTCAGGTACAAAATATATATGGGTACATAAATTAATATGTAGCAAGATACAGGTGGTGAGCAATAATCAACTGTAACTACACAAGCTACTGAAATACGCACATACATAATGACATCAGAACTGACTGCACTCAGATCGAACACTGCTTCTACGTACTGTGCTTCACATGAACAGATGGTGTTATATAAAAAAAGATGGATACCTACTCAGTAATGCTTACACTCCCATCCCCCCCGTGAAAACATTCCACTTTCACATTAGTATACACAGTGACAAATCTCTTGTACTTAAACATTTATAAGAACACAAATCCAGCCAGTACACGGCTGACACTATAAATACAAGCAATGTCAATCCTTCATATACACTATGGTATAAATCATAACGACAAAACAGTCATTGATGCTAAATAACGTCTCATAATATATATCATCCTAATAACACGCTATATACATAAACCTACCAAAAAAAAAATGCACATTGTTCCTGCCGGAGATAATTTGTACATCACATCCTACAGAGAAAGGACAACATTTGGCATCTAAATTAATTGTGACTATGCGTTTCGCATGACCTGCTAGTGCAGAGATTACAATGGCATGTCAACCGACATAAGTGAGTATGCACAAAATTCAAGAAGAATGCCTCATAAACCCACTTCCGGAACACATGACATACAAGCTGCCCTGAAAACGGGTCCATATAAATAAAAAAAAAAATCCTATTTGCTGAAGCATACAATATTACATAACCCTCTTGGCATTTCCCAAGCTCAAATTTTACCATAGATATTCTCAATAAAATCACTTGTTGAGCGCCACTTCTGTCTACAGTCTAAATCACAACATAGATATGCAACCCCTCACCCTACGCACGCCACTCAATAATTCCTCCAAATACACTCACACACTCTTCTCCACCACCCTGACGAGACTGGCTCAAGGCAGAAACCTAGATGCCCACATACCCTGCAGGCTGAGTACACATACTATCTTTGAGAAAAGGCCTTAACTGCGCACAGACTCAGGATGCGGTGTGCTCGAAACTGAAACACCAGAACTCCTTACAAGCAAATATGATAAGCATATCACACATAAACACCTCGAGGAAGCTATACAACACTCACGCAACTTAAACCCCAATCACACAAAGTACCCACTGGGTCATGTCTGACCTGTCAGGCTTCCCTGCTGTAGGACAGTCCCACAGACCCAGACCAAAAAGCCCCCCCCCCCAAAAAAAAAAACCCTTCTAACTAGCAACCCCACACAGACAGTCAGACCACTGCGACACACTCCTCATGCATGCAATTGCACCCCCCGGGGGAGACCAGCCCGTTCTTACCCCTGACAGTCTATAACACCCATAAATCCCTCAACTTAAAATCTCTATAACCCTCTGGAAAATCCCTATCCCACCTCCTCCCATATATTTCCCTGTTGTGACACTTCATCTGATAAAAAGTTGCAACTAGGGCCATCCTATGTTCCCCTACCCCTTTATCTCTCATGACCCATGATATAAAGACGAAATCAACTACTAAGTAAGCCACCGCCCATTGAACCCTCACCTCTACCCCACCTACATCTAAACTTAGCGCTCTTAATACCGACAACCCCCCCCCCCACATACCGAATCACTTTCCCCATCCATTCCCTCACAACCCCTAGACGTTTGCAAAAGTAGACTACATGAAAAGCCAACTCATCTACCCCACAATCTTGACACATCCCACTCTCCCTGATCTGTCTATTATGTAAAACTACCCCGACGGCAAGATCCCGTGGAGGAACCTATACATTACCTCTCTCACACATGGCTAGATGTGCAACCCTTTGAACCGTCCCCAGATGTCATCCTAAGCATACATCGGGTACGCCCCTTCCACAGCCACTGCCTCCCTAGGTCATAGCTTCCTCTCTATGGACCCTACCACATGTTCTTCGGATCTCTGATGAGCATTAAGACATGCAACATCTCACAATCTTGCAAATCCCGTCCTCTCCACCATCTCCGAATATCTTCTTGCACAACCCCCAACCCTCCACCCCCCTCCCCATACACCCTCAGGAACCCGTGCTTCACATAGACACTCTTCAACCTTCGCTCTTCAACTTCGCCCCATTACCCTCACCCTCCCACCCATTCCATGCCCCTAATCTCATGAGCTTTGATTTATCCACAATCACTGCCATACCTGTTGCCACCCCAAAAACATCCACGACCTCCCCAGACCCTCCAATCCCTCCCTCCCACTCACTAGGACTGTCGTGTCATCAATATAACCTATGATACGAGGTCTCCCACCACTCAGATTGTCCCTCACCCCCTCCTGTGCTCACCGTTCCACTGCCCTGTAAAAAGGTTCTGTAAACATGCAAATAGCATTTGTGATAGAGGGCAGCCCTGTCTCAATCCCCTGCCCATGCGCACATGCAACATCACCCTCCCATTAATCTGCACACACATGCCAGCTCCCTGATATAAAGTATGCGCCCATCTCACTATTTCCTCCTCAAACCTCTGCCACCTCGTGATTCTCCACAATACATTCCTCTCGACGCTATCATATGCCACCCTCCAATCCAGCACTAATACCCCTCCCCCCTCATGCATACTCTCAATGAACCTTCTAATGACCCCATGCCCCTCATACATTGATCTCCCCGGTACCCCATATTGTCTCCTTACTTTAACCTTACCAACGACCCTCTTAAAACGGTTTCCCAATATTTTCGCAAAGAGTTTGCAGTCGCATATATGAGTGATATCATTTGATAATCCCTCACCATGTACTGCCTATCACCATTTGGTACCAAAACTACAATCGCCGTCGCTTGCCACTCCCCCAATTCATCTCGCTCTTTCATGACATTAAACAATTTCACCAAAAATTCCTTCAGTACACCCCAATGCTGTCTATAAAAGTTGCTATGCAGCCCATCTATCCCCGGCGCCTTACCCCGACTCATGCCCATTAATGCTGTCCACACCTCCTCTATGATATTCCCCTGTAACTTTCCCCTGTCGTCCCTGTCAAGTACACACTGTACCCAATCTCCCGTCTCCCTTAACGCCCCCTCACTCACTCCTGCACTTCTCATATATGCACTATGCCAAACATCTACATAACCCCCCCATCCCCTCCATTGTAACCAGCTCTTGCCCCTCCCTATACCCCTCCATTTCCTCGTGGACCCGCAATCCTACCATTTCCATAGCAAAGCGCCGATGTGCCTGCCCTCGCAGGACACACGCCGATGGCCTATCATCCCATATCGCCTTCTCTATCCCCCCTAAAACCCTTACCGCATCGAACCATTCATTTTGCAATTCCCCGAGTCTATCCTTCAATCCCTCGAAGTCCACCACTGGGGCTCCCATCTCCCTCCCCCTCTCTCATAACACTCCCTTAACTGCCCCTCAAAATGCCTAATAAGCCCATAAGCCAACTGGTTCTCATGCCTCCCCTGGCGTACATAGAATTCCTGAATCCCCATCTTCGCTGTTGTATCCCACCAACTCAATACATCCCCATCCACGCTCGCCCCTTCCCACAAATGTGCAAATAAGACCCTACCCTCGACATCTTTAAGTAACCAAACATTCAATTTCCAATAGCTCTTATACCTGTTCGGCAATCCCTCTCATCCCAATTCCACCAAAACACCTCTGTGATCTGAAAAGACCACATCCAAGACACTTATTCTCTGTACCACTGCTTTTCTCATCATGTATAGTCTGTCCAGCCTTGCCGCATACCCCTGCCTCACAAAGGTGTGCTCCACCTCCCACGCTGCACTCCCCACATCTGCTAACCCCACCCCAGTTAACAGCTCCCTCAAAATGCCAGAACAATATCCTGCCCCCCTAGGTTTCACATCCCTATGACGGATCACACAATTCAAGTCTCCTCCCACCACAGCTACCGCCAGAAGCGCCCTCAGGTGATATACCAACATATCATGTACAAACTCATTCTTAACCCAACTGTCTCCCTTTGCCGGGCCATAAACACACACAAAGGTGACCTTCTCCCTCCCCCACATCCCATCTACTTGTATAACCCTCCCCTCCCCACCCTCCTCACAGTGATGTACAGTAAACGGGCTAGCCTCCTTCATCAAAATAGCCACACCTCCTTTCAATCTCAGAGAGTGTACCGCATATGCAGGGTACCCCTCAATCACCAACATACAACCCGGCTTGTGATTGTGCTCTTGTACAAACACAACATCTACACTATACCTCATTATAAACTCGCGAAACCATGCACACCTCCTTTCGTTTTGCAATCCATTAATATTTATAGTGAGAATCTTGAAGCTGTCAGAAGAGGTTTGCCTTTACACAAAGCTACAACCCTTTCCCCCTTCCTCCTAATACTCCCTTAGTCCTCATACACCCCTCTGGGACCACCTTTCAGAGGTCCCTTGCCCCTGGATCCTCCAGGTCCACACTCCTCTACATTTACCCAAACCTTTTTACCCGAATGCTGTGCCGACGTGAGCACATCTTCCACATCCGAGAGCACAGCTGCTCTCTTCCGTGACCCTCTAGACTTCTTCCCAACATCTTCCTGGAAGCCATCCACGTGCACTTCTGCCACCACAGTACAGCTCTGCAAAGCAGCATCAATGAGAGCCTCGGACAGGCCCCCCCCATGCCTCCTGGAAACACAGCAGACTCCAGGGCACCCACAAGCCTCTCAACAGAGACCTCACCTGGAGTTCCTAACAGGTCGTGGAGCACTGTGTCAATGGTGGCCTCCACGTTCCTGTCTTCACCAAGTGGCACCTCACCTATGTTTCCCGGTGCCTGTCCGGAAGAGCTTGGCTCCCCTGGAAGCATTACATACTTTCCCTCCATTAGTTCCACCTCATCCACCTCCACACTCCAAGCCTTACACAAAGTAAGCTTCCCTGATCTTGCCTCCTCCATCTTCTGTTCCTCCGGTGCCTCCTTACGTAGATCATTCACCTGCAAACCCTGCCGTTGAACACACTGCACAGCAATGTGGTCATAGGCTCTGCACAAGCGACAAGTACGTCGTTGCCCCACATAGGTCACCATCACTTGTGTCCTGAAGTCGTCAAGTTGCATGTAGGAAGGAATGGGATGCCGTAATGTCATTTTCAAAGAGGAACTTTCCCTCAGGCATCCCAGCATATGATCCTTCCTTCCACTTACCCAATGCCGCCATGTGAACTGTCCCATATTTTTCAAACACGGCATGCAGGTCCGCCTCATCAGCCTCAAAAGGCACGTTCCGTATCTTCACCCACGTGTAGTAGCGGGACACATCATGGAGCCTCACCGTCACAGCAGGATTCACTGGCATACAAATATCCTGAAATCTGGCGACCTTGTCTTCATATACACTAGTGTTGCGAAACTTCCTGAAGATTCGGTATGCACCATTCAACGCTACACCATACAGTTCTTCATTTGCTATACCGTATGTGTCCCTGATGATGGCAGGCAGTAAAAGCTGAGCTGAATGGGCATACACAGCCCCATGTATCACTTCAATGCCGACAGTGTTTACCCGTCATCTACCCTGCTGTACCATTTTGCGAAATTCAAGGCATCTCCAGCTGACAGCAGGGGGCAGGCTCAGCGCACATCCGCTCGTCCCGAGGGTTGAGCGACGAACAATGAATTTTTCAAATTATTGTGTTGGCGGGAAAGGAAAATCTAGGAGAGCATAACTAGCTTTTATTCTCATAATGTAACTGTGACTGTGAAGAATAAAAGTCATAATACCGTTGCTAAAGCATTTCTTGACTAATAGACAATGTCGTCTTAAAAAAACAAATTGTACAGATTGTGGGTTAGCTGTTAATACTTAGAAATTAATCTTAGAAATATATCTTCCCCTCAGAGAACAGCGTGAGGCGAGCAGCGTGTGCAGCAGCGAATGTGAAGTGAGCAGCGTGTGCAGCAGCGAATGTGAAGTGAGCAGCGTGTGCAGTAGTGTGAGGAGAACAGCGAGTGCAGCAGTCTGACATTTTTGGGTTATCTTAGGTAATCTACACATGCTGCTATGTATGGCAATTTATGTAACTATTTATTTGTACCTGTACCTGAATAAACTTGCTTACTTGCTAGTGTGAAGATGAGCAGCAGTGAGGTCAAGTGGCTGCGACCGGTCACCCTGACTGAGGAATTAACGGAATTAGGTCACCGGAACCGGATGTACCTAACCTGCTACACGTTACACCTGGCTTCATGCCAGCCTCTTCACCATGACCTGGTGTACTCAGCTCTTACTCACCTGTTCAGGTAGGGAACCTTGGTACCTCTATATGCATTTACTCTGTTTTTTATCGTGTACCAGCTCTTCCTGCTTCTCACCCCTCTGGAACTCTATGTATACAAGCATGTATATGTATATATGTGTATTACATATGTATGTATTGTATGTGTTTATGTATGCATTGCATGTGTTTATGTATGGTATGTCTATGTATGTATATGCATGTGTATAAGTGTGTATGTGCATTTGATTAGATATTCATGTCTATACGTGTAGTAATACTCATGTACGTGCATGTGTATCTATCATATAGAACAGAGTAACAGACCACTGTTGATGTTATGTGTCCTTTTTTTATATACCATATGCCTAGGCATGCTAGAGGCCTTCCTTGTAATTAATATTTTATAAAATGTAAACCATGCATCGTAAGCCTTGCAAAGAAATAAACATATATATATATTTTTTGTAAAGTGTAAAAATAATAAAAGTTAGCTCCACTGTATGTTTTTAGACTTACAATGATTCTAATTTATCTACTAATGTATGAACGTGTATTTGTAAAATAATATATTTTTTCCTGGGCTACTGTCATACGGTAACGATGGTGATGGTGTCTGCAGGAAGGTTGAGGTGCTGAGGGTCTGTCTTGGTCAACGTGATGGACAGCTGTGGCTCCGACAAATGAATGGTTGTAACCTCGACTTCAAGGTAACTGGTCTTGTTCATACTTGTATCCTTCCGTAGTAACTCCGACTTTATCAAATCAGCATGCTTTGTATGCTTGTATATATCTATTTTTCCATTAGATTTTTTGTTTAAATTAACGTACCTTGCTTCTAATATCACCACTGAGTGCATAAAAAAATCATAATTTTTGTATATGGAAATTTGATGTTTATTAAACTTTTGGTACAGTAAACGTACCACTCACTACCTTATGAATGAGAGAATGAAACAGTTATACATCGCTTGAGTATCTTTCATGATGCAAACAATCGCAGACAGGCGATCTTAACTATCCAAGACAAGCCACAGGAGGGTGGGGGGAAATCTTCAGCTCAAGTACTTTCGCACTTTTCAGTGCGTCATCAGAAGCTATGCAGTGTTGCAAGGCTGCAACTGAATGAGTGAGGAGAAGTTTTTTCTTAGAGAGGAGGCATCAGGCCCACTGTGCGCGATTCTGAGAAAAAACTTCCCCCTCACTCCTTCAGTTGTAACATTGCATAGCTCCTGATGATGCACTGATAAGTGCAAAGTACTTAAGAACATAAGAACATAAGAACGAAGGAACACTGCAGAAGGCCTACTGGCCCATGCGAGGCAGGTCCAAGTCTCCTACCGGCTTAAGCCAATGCACCCAACCTAGTCAGGTCAGGTCACATTGACTTAAGGGAGGAACACGGCAACAGACCTAGTAGCACAAGCTATCAGGTCCAACTCACACCCACCCACATCCACTCATGTATTTATCCAACCTATTTTTAAAGCTACACAACGTTCTGGCCTCTATAACGGTACTTGGGAGTTTGTTCCACTCATCCACAACTCTATTACCAAACCAGTACTTTCCTATATCCTTCCTGAATCTGAATTTTTTCCAACTTAAAACCATTGCTGCGAGTCCTGTCTAGGCTAGATATTTTCAGCACACTATTTACATCCCCTTTATTTATTCCTGTCTTCCATTTATACACTTCAATCATATCCCCCCTAATTCTACGTCTTTCTAGAGAGTGCAGTTTCAGGGCCCTTAGTCTATCCTCATAGGGAAGGTTTCTGATACATGGGATCAACTTTGTCATCCTCCTTTGTACATTTTCCAGAGAATTTATATCCATTCTGTAATACGGTGACCAAAACTGTGCAGCATAATCTAAATGAGGCCTAACCAAGGATGTATAGAGTTGAAGAACAACCTGAGGACTCCTATTATTTATGCTTCTTGATATGAAGCCAAGGATTCTATTAGCTTTATTGCGAACACTTATGCACTGTTGTCTTGGTTTCAGATTACTGCTAACCAGAACTCCTAAATCTTTTTCGCAATCCGTAATATTAAGATCTACATTATTTAGTTTATATGTGGCATGGTTATTGTCCTGTCCAACATTTAGAACTTTGCATTTGTCTATATTAAACTGCATCTGCCACTTCTCCGACCACTGCATCAGTCTATTCAAATCTTCCTGGAGTGCTCGAATGTCCTCGTCAGAATGAATTCGAAGGGCCTATTTTGGTGTCATCGGCAAACTTGCCGATGTCGCTCTTTATGCCCTCATCTATGTCGTTTATGTAGATTGTGAACAGCAGGGGGCCCAACACTGACCCCTGTGGAACACCGCTCGTGACACTTCCCCACTCTGATTTCTCCCCATTTATGCAAACTCTCTGCTGCCTATTTGTCAACCATGCCTCTATCCAGGAAAAAATTTTCTCCTCCTATTCCATGTGCTTTAATTTTCCTCAATAGTCTCTGATGTGGGACCCTGTCAAAAGCCTTACTGAAGTCCATATACACAATATCATATTCATTACCATGATCTACCTCCTCAAATACCTTAGTGAAAAAAGTTAATAAATTCGTAAGGCAGGAACGCCCCTTTGTAAAACCATGCTGAGATTCGTTGATTAATTTAGGCTTTTCAAGGTGGCTACGAACTGCCTCGGCAATTATTGATTCCATAAATTTTCCCACTATGGAGGTTAGGCTTATTGGTCTATAGTTCGAAGCTAAGGACCTGTCACCTGTTTTGAAAATTGGTATCACATTTGCCATTTTCCACTTATCTGGCACCATGCCAGTTTGTAGTGATATGTTGAAAAGATTAGCCAAAGGTGTGCTAAGCTCCTCTTTACATTCCTTTAGAACCCTTGCATACAGTTCATCAGGGCCTGGGGATTTGTTAGGTTTTAATTTATCTATTTGCCTAAGGACCATGCCACTTGTGACCCTAATAGTGCACAGTTTATTATCGTCCTGTTCTACATAATTTATCATTACTGGAATATGGTCAGTGGTCAGTCGTCAGTGTTCAGTGGTCAGTCGTCACGTGAGGTCACAGACCCTGAGCTGCTTTGGGGATTAGCGTGGACGGTTACAAAGCATGGCTTGCTTCTGCAGTGTTTTAAAAACTGAGGTTGGAGAGTTGAAGGAGGAGGTCTTGCTTCTCCAGGAGGAGATTAGGAGGCTGAAGGTCCACCTCAATGGGCCTGGGAGAGAGTGTGAGGTGGTTGGAGATGTGGGGAATGAGGCTTCTAGCAGTGAGGTGCAGTCTGTCTCTCACTGTGAGGAGGCTGTAGGTGGGGAGGTAGCAACGGCTACCAGCAGTGAGGTGCAGCCCAGCACCTGCTACAAGTGGCGAGTTGTTCACGTAATGGGAGGCGCATCAGAGTAAGGAAAGTTAAGAGTGAAGATCTGAAGGTAGGAAATCGCTTCTCTGTTCTCCAGGATGAATGTACTTCAGTGGCCAGTGAAGGTAAGGGTACTACTGCCCCTGCTAATGAAGGTAAGCGCATTCTTGTGGTTGGTGACTCTCAGGTAAGATATGTTGACCGTGCTTTTGTAATAGAATAAGAAGATGAGAGATAGAGTGTGCTTCCCTGGAGCTGGTGTTGGGGACATTGTCAACAGACTGGATAATATCATGTCAGGTAATGGGAACAAGCCCATTATCTGTCTCAGTGCTGGTGAAATGATATTGGGAAGGGTAGGAGAGAAGAGCTGCTAGATAAGTACAGGTCAGCTATAGATTTCATTAAGTCTAAGGAGTGATCCCAATCATATGTAGCATCTTGCCTAGAAGGGGAGTAGGAAATGAATGGTTGTCTAGGGCAATTGGTGTAAATTGCTGGCTAGACAGATACTGCAAGGAACTTGCAATCCCATTCATTGACAACTGGAACAACTTTTATGGCAAACATGATATGTATGCAAGGGATGGGTTCATCTCTCTGGGGCAGGGGTGGTAGCACTTGCAGACTCGATTGAGAAGGCCATTGGTGAAATGCCTATGATTTTAAACTGATGGAAGATAGAGGTATGGGTGTGTGTGGGAAACAAGCAGGTTGCAACACTAGGGTTGGAAACAGTAAATGTATAAAAGGCATTCAGCATGAAGTTATAAATAAAGACAATAGAACAGGTCAGCAAACAAAGGGGGACAGCAGAGGGCAGCAAGGGACTAGCTCCCTTAAGGTTTACTATACTAATAGCAGGAGTGTTAGAAATAAGATAGATGAGCTAAGATTAATTGCAAGTGCAGGAAACATAGATATTATTGCTATACAGAGACCTGGCTCAATCTGAAAGATAGAGAGATGCCCTCTGAATGTCACATACAAGGCTATAAATTATTCCACACTGACAGGGTCAACAGGAAAGGTGGTGGAGTAGCGATGTATGTCAGAGACAATTTAAATTGTTGTGTTAGACAAGATATTAAATTAGAAGCGTCAGCCACTGAATCTGTTTGGTTACAGCTTCTCGAGGGCCGAGAAAAACTAATTTTGGGTGTGATTTACAGGGCCCCAAATCTTGATAGGGAGTGCAGTAAACTTCTATGGGACGAAATTCGTAAGGCATCTACATACGAAAATGTTGTGCTAATGGGAGATTTCAACTATAGACAGATTGACTGGAGCAATTTGACAGGAAATTTAGAGTCGGGTGACTTTCTTGATACGATCCAGGATTGTTTTTTAAAACAGTTTGTGACAGAGCCAACTAGGGGAAATAACCTCCTTGACATGGTTCTTGCCAGTAGGGAAACACTAATTAATAATCTTGAGGTTAATGATAGCTTGGGAGAGTGATCACAAATCACTCAGTTTTAACATATCATGGAATCCCCTAATAATGGCAATCAAGTCTCCGTCCCTGACTTTCGCTTGGCTGATTTCATAGGACTGAAAAATACTTAGGTGGCTGAACTGAATGACCTGACTAGGGTCAGGTAGGTGGTGATGGTTGCCGATATGATGCTTTCCAGGGCATAGTTCTAGCTGCTCAGTCAAATTATGTTCCAAATAGGGAAATCAGATCAAACAAAAATGATCCTAAATGGATGAACAATAGATTAAAATATCTGATTGGTCAAAAGAGAGGCATATATAGGCAAATCAAAAGAGGAGAGGGGCAATTAAGAAAATCGATATATTCAGTTAAAGAGATAAATAAAAAAGGGAATTAGAAAAGCAAAAAGAGATTATGAGGTTAAAGTTGCAAGAGAATCGAAGACTAACCCAAAAGGATTCTTTCAGGTATACAGAAGTAAGATCAGGACAAGATAGGCCCACTCAAAAGTTCCTCGGGTCAGCTCACTGACAGTGATAAGGAAATGTGTAGAATTTTTAACACATACTTCCTCTCAGTTTTTACACAGGAGGATACCAGCGATATTCCAGTAATGATAAATTATGTAGAACAGGACGATAATAAAAATGTGCACTATTAGGGTCACAAGTGACATGGTCCTTAGGGAAATAGATAAATTAAAACCTAACAAATCCCCAGGCCCTGATGAACTGTATGCAAGGGTTCTAAAGGAATGTAAAGAGGAGCTTAGCACATCTTTGGCTAATTTTTTTCAACATATCACTACAAACTGGCATGGTGCCAGATAAGTGGAAAATGGCAAATGTGATACTATTTTCAAAACAGGTGACAGGCCCTTTAAAGCTTCGAACTATAGACCAAAAAGCCTAACCTCCATAGTGGAAAATTTATGGAATCAATAATTGCCGAGGCGGGTTCGTAGCCACCTTGAAAAGCATAAATTAATCAACGAATCTCAGCAGGGTTTTTTAAAAAAGGGCGTTCCTGCCTTAAACAAATTTTATTAACTTTTTTCACTAAGGTATTTGAGGAGGAAAGATCATGGTAATGAATATAAATATTTTTGTATATGGACTTAAAAAAAGGGCTTTTGACAGGGTCCCACATCAGAGACTATTGAAGGAAAATTAAAGCACATGGAATATTAGGAAAAAATTTTTTTCCTGGATAGAGGCAGGGTTTTGACAAAATAGGCAGCAGAGAGTTTGCATAAATGGGGAGAAATCAGAGTGGGGAAGCGTCACGAGCGGTGTTCCACAGGGGTCAGTGTTGGGCCCCCGCTTTTTCACAATCTACATAACGACCATAGATGAGGCATAAAGAGCGACATGGGCAAGTTTGCCGATGACACCAAAATAGGCCGTCGAATTCATTCTGACGAGGACATTCGAGCACCCAGGAAGATTGAATAGACTGATGCAGGGGTGGGAGAAGTGGCAGATGCAGTTTAATATAGACAAATGCAAAGTTCTAAATGTTGGACAGGACAAAACCATGCCACATATAAACTAAATAATGTAGATCTTAATATTACGGATTGCGAAAAAGATTTAGGAGTTCTGGTTAGCAGTAATCTGAAACCAAGACAACAGTGCATAAGTGTTCGCAATAAAGCTAATAGAATCCTTGGCTTCATATCAAGAAGCATAAATAATAGGAGTCCCTCAGGTTGTTTTTCAACTCTATACATCCTTGTTAGGCCTCATTTAGATTATGCTGCACAGTTTTGGTCACCGTATACAGAAGGGATATAAATTCTCTGGAAAATGTACAAAGGAGGATGACAAAGATGATCCCATGTATCAGAAACCTTTTCCCCATGAGGGTAGACTAAGGGGCCCCGAAACTGCACTCTCTAGAAAGACGTAGAATTAGGGGGGATATGATGAGGTTTATAAGTGGAAGACAGGAATAAATAAAGGGGGTGTAAATAGTGTGCTGAAAATAAACTAGCCTAGACAGGACTCGCAGCAATGGTTTTTAAGTTGGAAAAATTCAGATTCAGGAGGATATAGGAAAGTACTGGTTTGGTAATAGAGTTGTGGATGAGTGGAACAAACTCCCAAGTACCGTATAGAGGCCAGAACGTTGTGTAGCTTTAAAAATAGGTTGGATAAATACATGAGTAGATGTGGGGGTGTGATTAGACCTGATAGCTTGTGCAACAGGTCGGTTTTCCGTGTTCCTCCCTTAAGTCAATGTGACCTGACCTGACTAAGGTTGGGTGCATTGGCTTAGGCCGGTAGGGACTTGGACCTGCCTCGCATGGGCCAGTAGGCCCTTTTGCAGTGTTCCTTCGTTCTTATGTTCTTATGTTCTTATATCGCTGGTATCCTCCTGTGTAAAAACTGAGAGAAAGATGGTTTAAAAAATTTTACACATTTCCTTATCACTGTCATGACTGACCCGAGGAACTTTTGAGTGGGCCTATCTGTCCCTGATCTTACTTCTGTATACCTGAAAGAATCCTTTTTGGGTTAGTCTTCGATTCTCTTGCAACTTTAACCTCATAATCTCTTTTTGCTTTTCTAATTCCCTTTTATTTCTCTCTTAACTGAATATATCGATTTCTCAATTGCCCCTCTCCTCTTTTGATTTGCCATATATGCCTCTCTTTTGACCAATCAGATATTTTAATCTATTGTTCATCCATTTAGATCACTTTTGTTTGATCTGATTCCCTATTTGGAACATAATTTGACTGAGCAGCTAGAACTATGCCCTGGAAAGCATCATATCGGCAACCATCACCACCTACCTGACCCTTAGTCAGGTCATTCCCCGTTCAGCCCACCTAAGTAATTTTTCAGTCCTATGAATCAGCCAAGCGAAAGTCAGGGACGGAGACTTGATTGCCATTATTAGGGAATTCCATGATATATTAAAACTGAGTGATTTGTTATCACTTTCTCCAAGCTCATCATTAACCTCAAGAATTTTTAGTTATGTTTCCCTACTGGGAAGAACCAATCAAGGAGGTTATTGCCCCTAGTTGGCTCTGTCACAAAAATGTTTTAAAAAACAATCCTGGATCGTATCAAGAAAGTCACCTGACTCTAAATTTCCTGTCAAATTGCTCCAGTCAAACTGTCTATAGTTGAAATCTCCCATTAGCACAAAATTTTCGTATGTAGATGCCTTACGAATTTCGTCCCATAGAAGTTTCTGCACTCCCTATCAAATTTGGGGCCCTGTAAATCACACCCCCAAAATTTGTTTTTCTCGGCCCCGAGAAGCTGTAACCAAACAGATTCATGGGTGACGCTTCTAATTTAATACTTTTCTAAAACAAAATTTAAATTGTCTCTGACATACATCGCTACTCCACCCCTTTCCTGTTGACCCTGTCAGTGTGGAATAATTTTAAACCTTGTATGTGACATTCAAGGCATCTCTCTATCTTTCAGATTTAGCCAGGTCTCTGTTATAGCAATATATCTATGTTTCCTGCACTTTTCAATTAACTTAGCTCATCTATCTTATTTTTTTACACTCCCGCATTAGATAGTAAAACCCCTTTAAGGAGCAGTCCCCCCTTTCGCCCTCTTCTGTCCCCTTTTTTTGCTGACCTGATCTATTGTCTTTTTTTATAAGTTCATGCTGAATGCCTTTTATACATTTACTGTTTCCAACCCAAGTGTTGCAACCTGCTTGTTTCCCACACACACCCATACCTCTATCTTCCATCAGTTTAAAATCATAGGCATTTCACCAATGGCCTTCTCAATCGAGTCTGCAAGTGCTACCACCCCAGCCCCAGAGAGATGTACCCCATCCCTTGCATACATATCATGTTTGCCATAAAAGTTGTTCCAGTTGTCAATGAATGGGATTGCAAGTTCCTTGCAGTATCTGTCTAGCCAGCAATTTACACCAATTGCCCTAGACAACCATTCATTTCCTACTCCCCTTCTAGGCAAGATGCTACATATGATTGGGATCCCTCCCTTAGACTTAATGAAATCTATAGCTGACCTGTTACTTATCTAGCAGCTCTTCTCTCCTACCCTTCCCAATATCATTTCCACCAGCACTGAGACAGATAATGGGCTTGTTCCCATTACCTGACATGATATTATCCAGCCTGTTGACAATGTCCCCAACACCAGCTCCAGGAAGCACACTCTATCTCTCATCTTCTTATTCCTATTACAAAAAGCACGGTCAATATATCTTACCTGAGAGCACCAACCACAAGAATGCGCTTACCTCCATTAGCAGGGGCAGTAGTACCCTTACCTTCACTGGCCACTGAAGTAAAATTCATCCTGAAGAACAGAGAAGCGATTTCCTACCTTCGGATCTTCACTCTTAACTTTCCTTACTCTGATGCGCCTTCCATTACTGTGAACCACTCGCCACTTGTAGCAGGTGCTGGACTGCACCTCACTGCTGGTAGCCGTTGCTACCTCCCCAACTACAGCCTCCTCACAGCGAGAGACAGACTGCACCTCACTTGAAGCCTCATTCCCCACAACTCCAGCCACCTCACACTCTCTCCCAGACCCATTGAGGTGGACCTTCAGCCTCCTAATCTCCTCCTGGAGAAGCAAGACCTCCTCCTTCAACTCTCCAACCTCAATTTTTAAAACACTGCAGAAGCAAGCCATGCTTTGTAACCGTCCACACTAATCCCCAAAGCAGCTCAGGGACTGTGACCTCACGTGACGACTGACCACTGACGACTTGCGACTGACCACTGACGACTGACGACTGACCACTGACGACTTGAGCCAAAGATTTCCCCCCCCCTGTGGCTTGTGTTGCACTGAGTATCTTTATATTCAAGTGTTGCACAAGTATCTTATTCATCACCTTGTCTATTTTCTGAACCATTTATCTACAGTACCACTACCTAAGTTAAAAAAAGATGAGTACAAGATGGGTGTCATTTTAAAATATGGTGGGTGCGATATCCCGTATGACAAGACAGTTGTCTTATGTATGTATAATTTTTAACAGATTGTGGAACAAAGAAAGACGGAGGAAGTGGAGGAAGAGCTGACTCGCTACATCTACAACACATCTGAGGGACCCATGTGGTGTGTGAGGCTCCTTGGCCTGCCACCTACACCATCCTCCACCGATCTGGATTCGATTTTCTCTCATAATTACGCTCTCATGTTTGGTATTCACCATTCGTTAGCTGACGGGTTCACTAATATCAATATCTGCAACCTGGTGCATACCATTCTAGACGATATGGTTGCCGGTCGCCCTGTGAACGACGAACAACAGGTGGGGAAGCTCGTTGGTGACGAGCAAACTCAGAAACTTTACGAAGAGCAAAGGCAAAAGTTGTTGGGAGATCCGGAACTCAAGGAAAGAGTCAGAAAGGAGTTTCAGGATGGTGCTGATACTCGTCCTCTTTTCCTGGATGCCTTTCCTGTTTCAGGACGAACCGATGTGAAAACCTGCTTTGTTAATATTCAATTCGACAAGAATCTAACGTATTCTTTTCGTCGAAAGTGCAAAGAAGAGGGAGTTACGCTTCACTCTGGACTTGTAGGTGTCATCAACGCCACCCTCATTAATCTGCTTGATGATCATTGTGAATTGCCACATGAAATAAATTTTCGGGCCGGGCATGACGTCAACTTGAGACGGTATTATGAAGGTGACACCACAGGTATTTACGGCAATCATGTCCCTACATTTGGCTTCAGAACCTCTTTCAAAACCTCTGAAAACCTGATGTCCAATTTTTGGCCTATAGTAAAGGAGTTTCACAAGAAATTACATTCTCATTTAAGTGAGGGCCGCCCCCTGCAAGTTGTGGCTCTTAAGTTGATGGAAAAATCAAAATCTGAAATTTTAGATGGATATTTTACAAGCCAGGGGATGCCTGACAGCTATTACACTGTATCAAATTTGGGTGACGTGACACCATTGTTCACTGGTGAGGGTGACTGTGTGAAGGTTGTGAAGCTCACACGACTCTCATCTATACGATGCATGAACAGTTTCATATGTTTTTTTGCCCACAGCCTCAATGGACGCTTGGACTTAACTATGGGGTTTTCAAACCGTTTCTTGGACCATAAGTTTGCCAAGGAGTTCATGGACATGATGAGCGTTAACATGACAACTTTGAGTCCAGCATGATTTTGATATATCAATGAGATGGGCGAACCACTCCGTAATTATGAAATGAGAGTGACTTTCTGTTTTATGAGGCCTAGTAAGTACTTTCAGATGAACATTAAACATAGTGAATTAATATTGCTATTGCTAGTATTCTCATCTAGTTATCTTGCACAGCTAGGCTACTGGGGCTTGTATATTGTTCATTTAAATAAATAATATAAATAATGTTTTTTAACATCCTCATGATTCCTCATAGATTCTATAAGATACTCACTCACTCTCTCTCTCTCTCTCTCTCTCTCTCTCTCTCTCTCTCTCTCTCTCTCTCTCTCTCTCTCTCTCTCTCTCTCTCTCTCTCTCTCTCTCTCTCTCTCTCTCTCTCTCTCATCTCTCTCTCTCTCTCTCAGTCCAACACAGAGCAGTGGAAAATGAGAAGTCTGCAGTAACCAGTCCCAGGCTGATGTTATCAGTCCCTCATTTCCAGGCTGAGAGACTGCCTCAAACTCTTCATGTTCTACGGTTCGTCTCAGTTGGACTGATGAAGCCACTGGCTTCTGAAACGTTTCCACGATAAATATACCCAAGCGTGGCAAAATTATTTTTATATTCAAAACTAAGCGCTAAACCACCAGAGTCATACAGAAAGTATGGAACAGATGTCTTAGTTGAGGAAGTCACATTCCTCGACATTATCATATATAATCAATAAATCTTTCAGTTTGAAAAATTTCAGAAAGCCTATATATAAAAACGATCTCATTAACTTTTCTCCATTTAGGACACCAACAAATCGAGGCATTGTAACATTTTTTTTCTGAGAGGCTTCCCCATCGGCATCCCAGAGTTCCTACATGAAGTATATACCTTCATTCTATAAACATTTTCAGAGCTCCACTTCTGCACATTCTTCATCGGAGACTGCCAGCAACGTGTCGTCCACATCTATAACTCTCCACACAACGACACCGGGTCCTTCCTAATTTCAAAATGATAAAAAAAAAAAATTCTTTACATCACTCGCCCGAGGCACCGTCAGAGTTTGTTACCATTAAGGAGTTCACATAAACTAAAATTTAGCACTTGTGAAAATTTGTCTGGACTGCCTCCATGTGAGTTGTCTACCCTGGCAAGCTCTGTTGACACCGAGCCCTGAGGTCAGTACCTCAGCCTCACAAGTGGCTTATAGGACAGATTTCCATAAATGACTGATGTTGCAAGAAATCTCACCTGCATGCACATATAAAGGACTAACTTACTTGGCGTTGGAGAATATGTCCCAGTCTTCAACCTCCCTAAGCTTTAGTCCCTCTGGACTTCCCCTCAGAACCACATGCAACCGGGAGCCTTAATTCCTGCAATATTCAGTTGATATTAGTGACCTGCCTACACCTCAGAAATTCCTGTTTCCAAGGGGGTGTGTATCCCCTAGTATAACTATGCAGAAATGGACACTAGCTTCTAAGCCTGAAGGAGTGACGCTGGTACATACTGGTCATGAGCTGCCACCTGCACAAAGGCCCACAGCTCAACTCACTCACAATTTTCCCCAGAAACTGGCCAGAATCTTGCAGAAAAAAAAGAAGGTCTTGTCTTACTGTATGGGCCTGACCGAGGAGGACATCTACGGTATGTGGAGGTGCCGCCACCAGATTTCCCCAGGGCCTAGTATGTGAGGACACATGGGGGTGCCGCCTGCTGATCACGGCACTTGTTGCTCCGACGGTGTCTTGTCCTAGAAGAAAGGGCACTGCAGTCTCAAACCCGTGCCCCAGTATTCAAACTTGGGCTGCCAGTTCTCCCTGGCTAACATAACCTAGTGTTTGCCTACATTATCGGTCTATTACTACCTACGTTAAGGTCTTAGGTCTACATTATTATTATCTACAGTTGCCCCAATGGTTCTAATGTTATTGTACTAACAGTATAAACTACCTACTTCTTCCCTGAAGGGCCACTCACCAAGCCGTTCCATAAACGGCCTGATGGGATCTTTGTACAATGGATCTACCCTGTGGAACTTTTAGAACCGAATAAATTTCCATAGCACTCAGCAAAAAAAATTAAGTTTATTTGAGTACTTTTACAAACATTACAGATGTTGGATAAGCAGTGTTTGTACACTCCTCTCAATTGTGGTTGCCAAGGTTGAATCTAAGTTACTATCCCGACCTCTCCTCTGGCCGCTACTGGTTTCACTTCCTTTCCTGGCTGCGTGAGCCTTATCATACCCATTCTTAAAACTATGCATGGATTCTGCCTCTACCACTTCGTTAAAATAGTTATTATTATTATAATCAAGTAAGTAAATTTATTCAGGTATACACAAATACAGTTACATAGATTATCATACATAGCAGCATATGTGTAGAGAACCTGGGATAACCCCAAAAAAGTCAGACAGAGTGACTTATTTCCATTGGGGCCCTTTTATCTTATTATTATAATATAAAGGTTATAATATCTTATTATTATTCTATAATGAAGATAACATCTTATTATAATAAAAATGACTATCTACTACACGAGGGTCATTAAGACTATCTACTACACAAGGGTCATTAAGACTATCTACAATACGAGGGTCATTACTAGGAATAAGGTAAAATTACACGTGTGTTAGCTAAAAAATAAAAAATCATTCCCCTCCTTTTCTGTAGCTACATTCATCAGACACCTTTTGGCACTCTTCTTGAACTGGTTCATGCTATGACTGGCTTTGACATGTGCGGGCAATCTGTTCCATTCCTTTATTGCTGTACAATAAAAGTTGTTTGAAGCCTGGCCAATGAATGTGGGTACTACAAAGTTATACTCTCTCCCCCAAGTACTATGATTGTTTTGGTTCCCAACCTTGACAAAATTGGTAGCAAGACATTCTGGACACTGTGAGCAATTTTATAAACATGATTTAGCTTCAGTTGTTTTATTCTGTCTTCAACATTCAGCATATCCAACTGCTGTAATTCATTCTGGCCTACATGCTCTCTTGGTCCCAGGCCCAGGATGAATCTTACAATTTTGTTCTGGGTGATTTGCAGTCTATCTTTCATTTTTTTTTTGTCAAGACAGAGTACCATGAAGAACAAGCGTAATCCATATGACATTGTATAAGGGCTAGACATAGGGTCCTGCGAGCCTCAGTAGGTAGACACTGTGCTTGTCTATACAGGAACTTCAGTGTGGCATTCACTTTCTTTACTACACTGTTCCCTATCAATTCTCCTGATATGCATGGGTCAAAGGAGTGATGGACTCCCCATTACACTGGACATTAAAATTATTTACCCTTCTCAGTTTATGTTACGTGCCAAAGAGAATGGCTTCAGTTTTCCCGGGGTGTAATGATAGTTTGTTGTCTACTAACCATTTGCTGCAGGACTCCAGTTGCAGTGTTAATACATTAGCTATATCTTGTGGGTCTCTACCTGACACTAACAGAGCATTGTCATCTGCATACAGTAGAAGTTTGCACTTGACACTGATAGGCATGTCATTAACATAGCATAAGAATAATAAGGGGCCCAGAATACTACCTTGGGAACTCCACATGCTATCGGCAGGTGTTCTGATTCCGTTTTGTTGATTTTGACAATTTGTTTCCTGTTGCTTAGGCAGGACTTAAACCAATCTACAGAATCTATACCGATAGCTTGAAGTTTCTTACATAATATATTGTGGTTGACAGTATCGAAGGTCTTTTGCAGGTCTAAGGTTACCATTCCTATGAGGTTCCCCATTGACATTTCAGTTCTAAAGTAATCCATCAGTTTAATTAGGGAGGTGTCGGTTGAGTAAGATCTTCTAAAGCCCGATTGATAGCTATGGAGAATGTTGTTGTCATAAAGGTACTTAACTACTTGACAGTACACCACCCTCTCTAGAATTTTGGGTATTATACTGAGTATACTAACAGGTCTATAGTTGCTTACATCAGACCTACTATTTTTCTTGAAGATAGGAGTAACTCTGGCCTCCTTGAACCCCTCCGGTACGGTATTAGTGGCGATGGGCAGATTTATTATGTGAGCAATAGGGCTTGACAGTTCAGGAGCACCATCTTTTAGGAACTTGGACGGGATGTTACCCGAGCCAGTGCTCTTAGTTAAAGGTATTTGATGCAGCTGGTAGTTTACTTACTTGTGTTAATGCAACAGATGTGTAGTAGGAATTTAAACAATTTGCCACCTTAGATATTTCGCGGCATACCACGTTATAGATAGTTAGTACTATGTTAGACTTATTATCTACTGGTTTATGGTTATACCCCAACTGTTTTAGTTGTTGCCAGAGCTTTCTGGGGTTATGCTTATACTCTTCAATTTTTGAGCAATAGTGCTTTTCCTTTGCTCCTTTTATAAGTCTCTATACTCTGTTACTCGCCCTTTGGAATTCATTTGGTGCTGCAATATCCTGTTTGCTTTAAATCTTTTTAGCAGCTGGTCTCTGAATTTCATATTATCTAATATCTCAGTAGTCATCCAGGGTTCAGTTCTCCGTTTAATCCTAACCTCTTTAACTGGTGCGATATTATCAAGGATGGTAGTGAACATTGTTTCGAATTTTTCCCAGGCATCGTTTACGTCCCTGCAACTTGTTATCTCTGTCCAGTCACAATTGTGTAGCCTATTTACCAGTGTTTCTTTACTGTAGTTTCTAGTTGACCTCATTTTTATTGTCCTGTGTAAGCCTATCCTATCCCTAGTGATTTTCCTGGTGCAGTAAATGATGAAATGATCACTAAGACCTGTGGTAATGACGCCTGACTGACTAATGTTCTCAGAGCGGTTACAAAGTATGTGATCAATTAGAGTGGCTGAGAACTGTGTGACCCAGGTTGATGTATTAATTAGTTGAGTGTAACTATTTAAACCTAGAATTTGCTTATATCTTTTGCATAGCCCGTTATTTTGCTGCTGAAAACAGATATTGAAGTCGCCCAGTATTATTGTCTCGCAACTATTTTCAAGTCCGGACAAGAGTCTAGAAAAGTCTTCTAAGATCTAGTCATGGGCGGGAGGGCGGTAACTAGTTCCTACTAAGATGGGTTTGGTCTTGGGAAGCAGCACTTCATACCATAGAATCTCCAGTTTATTGTTATTTAAATCAGGTCTTGGGTTGTAAACTAAGTCATTTCTAATGTAGGCACATACTCCACCACCCTTTCTGTTCCTATCTAAGCGTTTTATATTGTAACCTTCTATTTTGACCTCGTCGTCAGTCACCGT